CTGTGGTGCTCTGGCACTATTTTGAAATGACAAAATATGTGAGACTCGAAATCTTCCAATATTTATGCATAGTGTTTTCCTTCTCAAAGTACAAATGACAAAATGTGAGACTATATCCTTACTCAGATTATGCTAGATGGATTCCCTTTTATTACTTGGGTTCATTTACAAGATTGCCAGAACTGATTCAGCAGTAAACATAAATACTATCTTCTGAAGATCATATTTTTTACAATTAGCTTACATAATCAAGCGTGAATGTTTATGCATTCTTCAACCAAAAGTAAAAGGCATTAACTTTTATGTTATATGTAATATAACATAAAACATAATGTTATATACATATAAACTGCTATGTCCATAAGAACATAACCATGGCTTAAAATCACAAGACAATTTTGAACTTAATACATACTTATCAATTTTTTTGACTAAATAAATTATGGCATACACATAGAAAACTGGGATTACTAAATATTACAAAATCTAGTGTATGCATAGAATAAAATAGCTTTGAATTAGAATGAAATCCTGACACAAAGGGGTATAGATGAACTCTGAATGCATTGTGTTAAGTATAAAAAGCCAGACATAAAAAGACAACCAGTGTAACCTTTCTATTTTTTTGTGAAACAAAATACAAAATTTTGTAGGCACAAATAAGAGTATCCTGGGGCCTGAAGGGTACAGAGAATGATGGATTATTATTTGATGTCCAGAGTCTGTTTAGAGTGAGGAAAAAGTTCTGAAAATGGATAGTAAGGTATTTGCAGAATATTATGAATGTATGTAATTAAATGAGTTAAAAATGGTAAATTGATATGTTATATGATTTTAAATTTTATATAATTAAATTATCATAGTAATTTTAAGATATATATAAAACTTGTACACAATACATATGCTCTAGCTTCCTATATGTGTGTACACTGTCACATTGGGTGGTGGTGGCGCATGCCTTTAATCCCAGCACTCGTGAGGCAGAGGCAGGCAGATCTCTGTGAGTTCGAGGCTGGGCTGGACCGACAGCCTCCAAAACAATACAGAGAAACCCTGTCTTGTAAAAATCAAAAAAAAAATTCAATTTATCTCATGAGTGTAGATATTACAACTTTTAAAAATTACACTAAGTTTTTGTGCTTATACAATGATCACAATTCAGCTGGAAACCAGAAGATTTAGGGGGAATGTAAAGAAAGTGACAGCTGAGGGTGTCCTCATGAGTTTTTAGTTTATTCTTCTTGATTTTTTGTTCTTAGTCACACCTGTTTGAATCAACAGCAGCCATGCCAACTAGTTCCAGCCTCCTTAGAGTCCAGATTAGAATTTTAATGTACTTCTATTTATTCTAGGTGATTTGTATCTCCTTAGACGCTTTGGCAGATGAACATAATTTATCATTTTTTCCTTCACATGACAATGACAAATAAACTATTGCAGATAGCAATATTAAGAATAAATTACAAGTTGAAGAGATGTAAATTTTTCTGAAGATAAATGAGTTGTGTCTTAAAGTGGACTATAACAGTCGACTTCTGGCAATGTTCGTCCAAACATTTGTCAGCACAGTATTCTGAGTATGAGTCCTTTAGGCATGAAAAATCCACTAACATTTTCCCTTGCAAATACATAACTGGGCACTGTAACATTGGTTGCAGGTAATACACTGATTTTAGTACCAGAGATTGTTTTCTATGTGTGCCTGTTCACATGAAAGGTTGGTGTAAGACATGAAAATCTATAGGGATTTAGACAAGGAGAAGAAAGCTTATCTCACCAGAAGGCATCATGGGAGAGTCAGCGGCAGCTGTGAACACATTTCAAGACCTAGCCGGATGGTTCACCAGGCCTGCTATGAGGAGGCATGTATAGGAATGAGTTCATGTTTGGCCGGTTGTGGGCTACTTTGAAAGGATTAGTGACCTGGATGAAGAGCTATCACTCTGCATGGAAGGTATTATTTATCATAAATACTGGAAAGAGTGGAGTATTTCAGAATTCTATTCATTAAGACACCACTGGCAATAGTCAAAGTAGCTAAAGTCTCATATTTTAGCCTAGAACTAGGATAGAACACCATTTTCCCTACTCATTCTCAATGGAGGCACTGGATAAACACAAATGACATTTCTTCCTCTTTCTTTCCCATTTTTCATTATTTCAACTTAAGGCTATTTTAGTTGTAGCTATGTTGATATTCTTTTGTGGTGTGAACTCAACTCTGACCTCCCAGTTTGCCCCTGCTAAGGTTCTGATAACACTGCCTGCCAGACCGTGCTCATGTGGTTGGAAAGTAATAGACTGACTTCACTTCTGCCTTATCAAACATACAGGAGCACCCACAGCTCATTTAGTGCTAATTCTGTGAAGCATTCCATTCTCTATTCCTTCTTCAGTTCTGAACACCAGCTGAATAACTTTTTCTCTCCCAAGGAACTTGAAAAGTAAAGGAAATACAGTGATAAACCAATCCCAGTCACAGCATCGTATGTGTGTGTGTGTGTGTGTGTGTGTGTGTGCTGTGCATGTAACTGTGTGTGTGAGAGTTTTCTGCCCAGACACTTGCAAAGCAAACGAAATCGTGATAAAATCAATCCTAGTCACATAACCATTTATATGTGTTTGTGTGACTGTGAGGGTGTGTGTGTGTGTGTGTGTGCATGCGCGCGTGTGAGTTTCTACTTAGAGCTCTAAATTTATAAATATTTCCAAAATCGTTTAAACATACAAAGCCCGTATCTGGAGTTCCTTATGTGTTTTGTCCTCCTTGTTTGTATCAGAATGAAAATCACATCTCTAAGTCATTTTCTTCCCTACAAGGTGGAAACATAGCAGGCACCAGCCCCTTGATCCTGAACCAATTTCTTGCCAGATAAGTCACTTTCCTCAGAAACCAAATAGCAGAGCCTTAGAATTTTTAACCACCAGTGGAATGTTCTCAGGTTTCTCTCTCTCTTAACCAAAATGTATAGCTCTTAACATTATAGAAACTGTTTTTGTTCCTGAAGGAGCAAGTGATCATTATATAATCAAACTATTATTTAGAATACATGAGCTAAGTTTTTTAAAAGAATTATTTATATTTATTGTTAGTTATTTTTCAGAAAAAAAGATTGATTCATTAAGTATTTTTAAATTAGGAAAGGTCATGGAAGTGAGAAATTACTCCCCCTTCCATCTTATTCTTTGCTCTCTTTACTAGAAATTCTAATAAAATTCTAGAATCTCAAGTGTTTAATGCCTGAAATACAAACCCTGTTCAAAACACAATAACAATGATAAACAGAAATGGCTTTCAGTTCCTGAAAACCCCCCTGACAGTTTGTGGAGTGGGCTGTTTCATGATAGGCAACCCCTCCCTCTACTCAGATACTGAAGGTGGAGACAAAAGAACAAATTCAAATCTTCCTAGAGAGAATTTCTCAAAAGAGGATTTGCAATTAGAAAAGTAATACGAGTGCACACTAGAATTAGCCTGACTTCGGAGAATCGGCGACAGTGGGAGGGAAAACAAGCAAAGGTGTCATTTTAGGTTAAATTCTGTCCTCCCTTTCATTGCTTTGCCTTCATTTACTGAATGAGACGGCATGGCTGTTGAGTCAAACTGCCTTTCCAATTTCAAGTGTTAGATGACAGATCTTTTAAATGAAATGGAATGTTGGCTCCCGGACTCCCCATAATCTGGCTTACTGCAACTGCTCTGATGGTGAAGCACCCATTTGCGGTACCCCAACAGCCATCTTAACTGCTTCACACATATTTAGATGCATGTCACCAGATGACAAGGATAAGGACTTCAGCTGTCGGGGGCAGGGAGGGCAGCAGAGGGTCAGAATGGGAGGAACCTATAGGCAAGGTGACAAACCTAGGATGACCAAATAATTCAAGCCTGGGATTGGGCAGACCCCTGGCTTTCTGTCTACCAATGGGAAAGCCCCAGTTTGAGGTTATTGAGGAATCCTAGGGCAAGAGCACACTACTTTTTTTTTTTTTTTGAATGGTTGCCCTAAACTCTGATAGCTAATTTTCTTAAACCCCAGCGAGGTAGAAATTTTTTAAGAGAACTGGTTAAACTGCTATGGCCAGTTTCCCTCTGCCTGTGTCTGTACAGAGAGAACTGCCTGCATAGCCCAGTATACTCTTTTCCCACTCAAGCCTTTGTGAATAGCCAACCAGAGTGACTGTAAGAAGGCAAGAAAGGCATTTAGAGAAAACCACGTCGGTCCTGAGCTGAAAGCATGGCATTTTATTCCATGTGTCTGGGGAAGTACACCGCTGCTGATGGTATGTTAAGGGAATACCGGATAAGGAACCCTGAGAGAGGTAATGCCCCTTTTGGGTCCTTGATGAAATCAGTCACAGAACTGAGGGAGAATAAGGTGTGCTGAGTTGACCTGTGAGTAGATACACAGCATCTCTGGAAAATCGATGAACTGATTGACAGAGAAGATGGAAACAGGTGCAGTCCACACCAAGCAGAACTCAGGAGGGGAGCGAAGTTTTCCCTTCGCCCGGAGGGAATCCCAAAGGCACGGATTGAAGCAGGCAGGTGTTATGGCATTGAGATGAGTGAAGAAACACCCTGATATCAGGGATGACAGAGAACCAAAGAGGACACACAGAGGGGCGCAAGATTACTGATGACTTCCCCAAGTGCTCCAAGGACATGATGCTCCCAAGCCAGGGAATGATGGAATGGGGATGGAAGACACAAAGGTAAAACGGGCACTCAGACTGTTTAACATTTCGAATCATCCTCGGTGTCTACACCAACATGCTACGGAAATGGTTGATGACCTTAGCTGGAGGGTGAAAGACCCCCTTTGTTTGCCCGGGAACATCCCTCCTCCCGTCTCTAATGCAAGGCTGATCAACCTTTCACTCCTTTACCCACTGCAGAATGCATCAGGGTGATCCCTTCTTTCCCGGGTCCTACAAAGCTAGTCATCAATGGGGCGGAATGCCGGGCTCGAGGAGGCTAGCACAGGCCAGCGGCTTACCTTCGGGATGAAGAAGCGCGTCCGGGCTGCCCCTGGCTGCAGTCCCGCCGCCGTCTGGCCAGGCGTGCAGGGATCTCAGGGCTCGCGCGGCCCCCGCCCCACCTGCAGCTGCAGCCGCCGCTGGCTACTCCAGGCGGGCCGCATGAAGTCATCCCCCGCCGGAGCAGCGCACTCGGCGCGAGCCGCGGGGGGAGACGCTCCGCTCTGGGTCGCAGGCCACCGCATCTGCCAGCTGCCCCCGGCACACACTGCCCCCGGCGTGAAGACTGATCTTCTGTGAACGATTTTACACACGCGGCATTTGCAAATTATGCAACAAAGGAGAAGTGACAAACAGATTTTCTGTGCAGCGAGTCCTTGCTCTCTGCGCTCCCCTGTCACTTCGGCTGTTTGGACAGCTCCATCTGACTGTGGGGGTTTCCCACCCTCTCCATCTTCCTTATCAGTACTGTTCATTTCGCTGAATTTGAGGGCTGATTGTCTATTGAGATAAATAGTCAAATACTCTGAAAAAAATTTTAAGTGGGCAATCTGTCTTTTTAAATCCCTCACAGCATGATTCACTTGCTTTTAACACACACACACACACACACACACACACACACACACACACACACACAGGCAAACAGTTAAACAGTTACGAAAGCTAACCGCTTTGACCTCCCATTTTCTTGCTATTGTGATAGAATGAGGTTCTCCCAACTCAGTCAAGAGGGTTAGAGCAGAGAAATCACTCAAGGACACTGAGAAGGGTCATTCCAGGATTTTAGTGCTGTTTGCTAGTGGGCAGATGTGTTTCCCAACAACCTGCTTTTTCAATCTGTACTTCTTATCCTCCAGTTCCCGCATTCTGGGAGACTTCCTTGGTGAAAGCTGTAATATGTGAAAACCAAGAGGCAGAATTCACATCTAGAGATGGCTGTAACTCCTAATGGATTTTTCAGAATTTCCCTAGGGCGAAAGAAATAAATGTCGGTGCACACAAGCCTCTTGTCCTTTCCTCTTTATTTGGCACCAGCTATGAAGGTTATCTCCTTCCCTCTATGCTCCTGTTTTTGTTTCCTTCCAAGTTAGTGACCAAACAAACAAGCTAGTGACTTGGTAGTGTTAAGGGGGAAAGGCAGCTGAAAATTTTCAGTCTTTGCTGTTTAGCCAAGGTTTCTTTCCCAACCAAGTTATTTCCAAGCAGGGATTTTCCTTATCACCAGCATTCCACAGGGTGGAGGTTCCTCATTCGACTTATCTTGGCTTCCCTTGACATCTTGTTGGTATTACCCTGGGGATCTGCCCAGCATCTTACACTGAAATTGCATAAGGTCACGGAAGATAATAAATGAAAATCTCCTACTCCTATGCCATCTCCAGAGCAGATGAGGTAGTGTAGCCAACAGAGATACAAAGCAAAGCAAAACGATATTAACAACTCAGAATTTGGGGTGTGGAGTGTGTGCACTTGAAATTTGTGACAGCTTAGTTCATCGCTGCCACTCATTTTCCTAAGATTAAGCCCTCCATCCTATATCAGAATGCTGAATTCTTCACTTGCATCATAGAGCTATATGCATATAGTTCATAACTGCAGAATAAGGTTGAGAAATACATCTTATTTTCACTAATACCTAGCTTATATTAGCCTCGAATATGTACTTTAAATGTAAATGTGGGTAGAAACCTCATTAACAGTGAACATACTGAAAGACTGTCACTTGCAGAAATGACAGATAATCCCTCAATGCAGTTTTTATAGCTAGATCGCCATATTAGTCCTTTTCATTGCCTAATAGATGTCATTTTATCATGGTGCTGATGTATAGGTGGACTGAGGAATTAGTTCAGATTCCCACATGCCCTGCTCTTTATGTTCTCTACCATGAACATCACACGGGAACACAGCAGCTCCCTTCCAGTTGATAACCGGAACTCCTGCATTAACTAAAGGTTAATACAGACTTCTCTAGATTTCCTGGTGTCTTCAGTTCTCTTCTTTACTCCTAGCCAAGATACCACATTATATTTATTGTTATATCCCTTAAGATTCATCCAGGCTGTGACAGTTTCTCAGTTGCCTTGTTTTTGATGACCTTGACAGTTGAAAGGTAGCAGTCTAGTATTTCGTGAAATGGCACAGTAATGCAAGATGGCTGAGGTCTTTCTTGTGATAAGACTGGAGTTATAGGTTATGGAAACAAAGACCACAGAGGTGACATACCCTTCTCAGCACAGCATCTAAGGTTATATCTCACAACAATGATATGACTGTTGATGTTGACTTTGAACAGCTGACAGACAGTCAGGGCTTTTTGTTGTAGTTACAAAAAACACCCCATCACTACTGTAGTGTTGGCAACTAGTCACCATGTGATGCCAAAACCTATGGGGAGCTATGTTCAGTCTGTGTGAAGATTGTGTGTATAATATTGTGACATAAGTGGAATTCTTCCATGAATTAACTTTGTCTATACCTCCCATGTATAATCTAGTTCAACTGATTAATACAGACATGCATTTTATACATTTGGTAGGAGTCCAATATTTTCTCATTTTATTGTTCAAAATATTCCAGTTTTTGCCATTAAGAGCTCTACCAGAGAAAGGGAGAACTGATGAGCAAAGGGGTTAAGACTGGGCTGGTTTAACCCACAAAAACAGTTGATCTGAACAAGGGGGAGCTCTTGGACCCCAGACTGATGGCTGTGTGGAAAGCATGGGACTGATCCAGACCCCCTGAATGTGGGTGTCAGTGAGGAGGCCTAGGTAATCTATGGGGCCTTGGGTATTATTTATCCCTGACATACAAATGGACTTTGGCTGCCTCTCCCACAATGAGGGATGTTCTCTCGGCCTGGACTCTTGGGGGAAGGCCCAGGCCCTGACCTGGATGAAATGACAGACTCTGGAGATCCTCCATAGAGGGCCTCACCCTCCTTGGAGATCGGAGTGGAGATTGGGTGGGGGACTGGAGGACCTGGTGGGATGGGGGTAGGAGCAGAGGGGAGGGAGAGGGAGCTGGGATTGACATGTGAAGCAAGCTTGTTTCTAACTTAAATTTTTAAAAAAAGGAAGAAAAAAGAGCTCTGTCAGTAGGTACAGTTGATAGTGGATTAACAATTCTTTAGTATTAATCACACTATATGTATTTAACAATAACTTGGGTTTTCAAGATATTCCAGGCTCAGAACTGCCTAGAATTGCAATCTGTCATTTCTTCAAAGAGATCTATATCCACTTATGGAAGAATGATAACAGAAACTAAGATATGGACTCCAAGTTTGTTTCTGGGTGATGCGATGTTGATTAGGTTTTAATACAAGAGAGCAATGTTCTGTATATATCTATTAACTATTTGTATACACAAACACCAATAAACATTTGTATATGTACCATGTGTATCTAAATGTCTGTAAACCAGTTGAGACCTATAAGAGCCTTAGATTACTCTAATATCAAAAAGACCCTTCTAGTCTACCTCCCTTGCTTCTCTGTGAATGCACATTCCAACAGTGAGACATGTAACTCTACCATCTACTATTATTTACTCAACTGTCCTATACAGGCATAGCAGCCTTAGAACTATTAATCCATCTCTCTAATAATCATATTTTAAAGTTCATAACCAAATAGAGCTACAACTATGTATAAGATTTGTTTGTTTTCCACAGGGTTTCCCTATGTAGTCCTGACTATCCAGGAACCCTGTGTGTAGACCATGCTGGTTTGGAACTCTCAGAGACCTGCCTGCCTCTGCCTTCCTAGTGCTGGGATTAAAGTCCTGCGCCACCATGCTACTAAAAGTGACTTCAAGAGTTTCAATGTCTGCTCATTTCTGTATCATAGTATTATTTCTTAAATGCTTTGATTACTGCACTTAAAATTAGCAACGTTCCCTATAATTCTCTAATGGTATGTTTTTGGCACTAGCTGCATTATTGTTATTCTTTCCATTTCCTTGTCTGTGTGGATAGGCTTCCTACTCTAAAGTCATAGATGCTTTGAAACCTGGGCTGCCATGACAATTTACAAGTGAAATAAATGATAACTTTACAAGATATAAACTGCCACATAAACTCAAAGGGCGGTGGGGTGGGGTGAATGGATCAAGAAAATCTAACTGTAACAAGGTTTCATAATTGGCTTGTCACATAGCCTCACTTTGTATCTATTCCCCGCCACCATGCATGTGTGTGTGTGTTTCTGTATGTGGGTGTAGGTACCCTCTGTGGTGTACCGGTGGAAGTCTAGAGAGAAACTCCTGGTATTGGTCATCACCCACCACATTTTTCTGAGGCAGGGGTCCCCATATTTTCTGCTGGATGCCAAGCTAGCTAGACTGCTATGTATGGAGCTGTCTTCAGGGCTCCTCCTATCTCTGCTTCCCATCTTACCGGGAGAGCTGGGGGTCAGATCGACCATTAAGCCCCTTCACTTGGCTTCTGGGGATCTGCACTCTGGGCCTTACGTTTGAAAGGCAAGTGCAAACTATCTCTATAGCCCCAGTAGTGCTATTTATTTATTTGATTCATGAAACAGAATCAGTGTATGGATGCTGCCAGGGAGGAGACAAATGTAGTCATTAAGTGGTAGGATTCAGTGCTCCACGACAACAGCATATTGCGAGGCATAGGAAAATGGACAAAAAATAAAAAAGAAACATAAAAAGGGATGTTTCATTTCAACACACAACATTAACATCTGTGTTCTTGGAATTAGGCACTCACTAGAGAACATGCAAGAAAACAACAAATAGCCCCCACCTCAAAGGAGAAAAAAAAATTACTTAGGGGCTAAATACAAGTGAAGGGGAAACTCAGATTTAGGTTATGCAAAACTCCATTTAAACATGGTAGTGATTTGATGAAGTTTTTCTCGTAGCAAAACAAAGCCGTGAATAAGGTACTTTCCAAACACAGTAGTGTAAACATTAAGTAAGTAGTTGGGTATGATGAATAGCTTTGGTCAGCTTGACATCGTGTCCCCTGGGAAGCAGGGATTCATTTTGAGGTGTTGTGTCCATCAGAAAGGTCTGTGTGCCTTGGCTGTGCGGCTGATCTCGTTGTAGGAGAGTCTCTCTCACTGTAGGTGGTACCACACTTAGACAGGTGTGCCCCAGGTTGTATAAGAAATCAAGACGCCCCTGAATGTGGGTGTCAG